GCCTTAGTAATTACCTATACTATTGTGGTTCCTTGTTCTAATTGTTTAGGGGTTTAGGGGTTTAAGGTTCAGGGGTTTAGGGATAATTACCTATACTGGTGTAACTATATTAAAATATACCCAAAACCCTGTTCTAATTATAAAGGCCCCTACAAATTACAGGGGTTGAGATGTTTGCTTGCTCTTTGTGAAGGGGGGGGGGGTGGTGCGGGGATATATTATAGTAGAACTAGATCTAGGACATTTTCAGGTGGATAGTTACCATTATAGGAGCCTTATAGAAGGTCTGTATGCATTATGGAAGCCTTATAGAAGCCCTATATCCCCACCTGTAGTTTCCTTTAACTAGAATGGGCTTCGTTTCAGGGTTCTATAAGGCTTACTATACACGTGTTTAGGGCTTGAAGTTGCGAGTCGGATTCTTTTTGGAATTGCTGTTCCCTGAGATCCAAATCCGGGCTTGATGATCTTGAGGAGCCTAATTCACAGTTATATTCCCTTATACTCCTTTTCTCATGGTCTTTGCACCGGAACTATTATCGAGTCTCCTTCGTAAAGCCCTGTGCAGCTTTTGAACAAACTCGAACCCTACAAACCTTCTGAAACCCTTTCAAGACCCTACAAAAAACCCATATAGAGCCCCCTAAACCCTAAATCCTAAACCCTACAAAAAAAGCCAGGGAGCCCAAACCCTAAACAACAAACCCTAAACCCTAAACCCTACCAAAAAGAAGCCCATCGAGTCCCCCCTTCTTGGACCATCGGAACTATTGGGCCCTTAAAGCCCTCTTAAAGCTCCCTTAAGTCCCCCTTGAAGCCTCCTAACAGAACTGAAGCATCCTTTGCGCAGGAGGTATCATCAACCCTAAACCCTACACCCTACACCCTAAACCCTAAACCCTAAACCCTAAAGCCTAAACCCTAAACCCTAAACGCAGGAGGCTGCCTCTTCTCATGGCACTATCGCCAGGAGGCCGGCAGCGCGGCGATCTTCGAGAACTGCTCAGCGGAAGAGGGCGCCTCGGCTTCATAGGGCTTCGTAAGAGGGTTTAGAGTTTAGGGTTTAGGGTTTAGGTTTTGGGGTTTAGGGTTTAGGGTTCAGGGTTTAGGGTTTAGGTTTTGGAATTTGGGGTTTAGGGTTTAGGTTTTGGGCTTTTTGGTTTAATTTGGGCTTACAGAGCTCATCTCCCTTAGAAATTCACCTTTACCTCGCGCCTAAAACACTTTCTAGGAGAGTCTTGTAGGGGTGTCCAATACCCGACTCTACTTTTGGGTCTTTTCCTTTCGTTTGGGTTTGGAGTCTTTGGGAAAGCCTGCCGGTCCTCGGGTGTTTCAGACATGTCCTTGACAAAGAGAGAGGGTTTAGGGTTTAGGGTTTAGGGTTTAGGTTTAGGGTTTAGGGGTTCCGCAATATATTGGAATAGTAGGGACGATGGTTGAAGTCGGACCCCTTAAAGGCGCCTCAAGGGAACCCTGCAGTGGACCCGTTTGGAACCCATCCAAAGAACCCTTAGAAGAATCTGGAACCCATCCAAAGAACCCTTAGAAGAATCCCCCCTTTAAGGATCAAGGGAACCCTAAACCCTAATGCGCAGGAGGCGGTCTCCGTGCCTTGGACTTCCAACAAGAATCCGGGAGTTCTGCAACCTTCGACAACTGCCGGGCTGAGAAGAGCACCTTGGCACCTTGGGGCTTTTCGTTTTTCCCTAAACCCCTAAACCCTGAGTCCCTAAACCCCTAAACCCCTAAACCCCTAAACCCCGGACTAAACCCCTCAACCCCTAAACCCTAAGCCCCTACACCCAAAACCCCCGAAACCCTAGTTTTCTTGGGGTTTTAGGGTTGAGGAGGGGTCCCCTCAGTCTCGGTTTGCATCAAGAATCCTGTCTTTACATAATGGTACAAGTAACAATGGCGTCCCATACTGTCTGGGGCCATCAGAACTGCAGAGTTGCCGCTAAAGCCTAAACTCCAAAGTTCAGGGTGTGGGCGGAAGGACTCTCAGGGAGGATTCTCCCATGCAGGCCAGTTTGTGGAGGATTGCAAAGCGAGGCTTTGAGGGCTTAAGAGCAGACAAGGCAGTGTCGAAGCAGAGGGCAAGGATAGCCAAACAGAAGTACATCTCAGCATCTGAAGGCACTCGAATCCATGCCCAAACCCAAAACCCTCAATCCTCAACTCTAAACCCTTAAGCCCCAAACCTCTAGGCCCTAAACCCCTAAGCCCTAAACCCCTAAACCCCAAACCCCAAAACTCCCACCCCCTCTAAACCCTAAACCTGCTCAGGTGGCGGCGGCGTGAAAGCGATGAACTTCCTCCGGCAGGGGCCCAACAGCTCCCTGCGGTTCAAGGCCTGCACCGCGGAAGGACCCCGGTGCTTCGGTCCGTGGTTCAGGGTCTTGGCTTGAATTAGGGTTCATGCCTGAATTAGGGTTTAGGGTTGAATGAGGTTTTGGGCTTGAGTTAGGGTTTTGGGTTGAGTTAGGGTTTTGGCTTGAATTAGGGGGTTTAGGCTTGAGTTAGAGTTTAGGGTTTGGGCTTGAATTAGGGTTTAGGCTTGAATTAGGGTTTAGGGTTGAATTAGGGTTAAGGGTCGAATTAGGGTTTAGGGTTGAATTGGGGTCTAGGGTTTAGTTAGGGTTTAGGGTTTAGGGCTTAGTTAGGGTTTAGGGTTTATTAGGATTTTGGCTTTAGGATTTTGGCTTTAGGGTTTTGGCTTTAGGGTTTAGGGTTTAGGGCGTGTGTGCGCGGTGGGTGCGCCTTTCACTGTGGGAATAGTGGCGCACCCACTTATCGCACGCTCGCGTCAGCATGTAGTCCCGCCCCAACCACCCCAACTATTCTCAATGAGGGTTTTGGGCTCACCCTAAACCCTAAACCCTAAACCCTAAACCCTAAACCCTAAAACCTAAACCGTCCTTAACTCTTGGGGTGGTGCTGTGCCCTGGCACAGTGGCATGGCAGGCTCCCCTCTGAGCATGCTGGAGCCTTTATGTTTGAGTTTCAAAAACTTAAAGGTTTAGGGTTTAGGGTTTAGGGTTTAGGGTTGAGGGTTTAGGGTTTAGGGTTTAGGGTGTTTAGGGTTTAGGGTGTACTCAACTCAGAGACCGCTAATTACTATTCGGAACGCCCCCGCCCCCGCCCCGCCCCCCCTTTCCATGCCGGGGTGCGTGTCCCGCAAAGCCTAAACGCCAAGCCCCGAACCCGAAGCCCGTGGACCCACACCCGAAAGCACGTGCAACACCCGAACCCAAAACCTAAACCCTAAGACCAAATCCCTAAGCCCCGACCCCTATTCCTTGAGCCTTGAGGAGACTCGGGAGGAGGTGGCCTCTATACTCCAGACTACAGACAGGAAGTCAGGAGCTAAGCTTGGTGCTCTGTTGCTGTTTAGGCTACACCCTCAACCCTAAACCCTCAACCCTGAGCCCTAAACCCTCAACCCTGAGCCCTAAACCCTCAACCCTGAGCCCTAAACCCTCAACCCTAAAACCCTAAAGCCCTAGGGCTTCAGGGGGGCTGAGGCAAAAAAAGGTCCCATCACAGGCGCGACATTGGGAGGTTCTATGGTTTTTCTGTTAGGGCTTAGGGTTGAGGGTTTAGGGCTCAGGGTTTAGGGTTGAGGGTTTAGGGTTTTAGGGTTTTATTATTTTGGGTCTGTCATGGGGATCTATGAAAGAACGGGGTCTACAGGGGGTCTACACGGGTTGCAACGGACGGGTGTATACGGGTTTGTTGGCTTCTCAAGCCAACCACCAGACCTTCTTGTGGATCATAAGGATTCCTTCTGCTAGTTGCGAAGACCCTAAACCCTAAACCCTAAACCCTAAACCCTAAACCCTAAACCCTAAACCCTAAACCCTTAAAGAAACAAAGCCCAACACCCTAACTCCCTAAATCCCCAAAAACCTCAAGCCCTAAACTTGGGAAAAGCGGTCTTAAACCCTAAACCCTAAACCCTAAACCCTAAACCCTAAACCTTAAACCCAACAAAAAAGGCACCCCGATGCCCTGCACCCCCCACCTTCCACTGAAGCATCAGCGAGCGCGCGACGCAGGCCGGCAGTTCGGCGGCTTTTGAGGCTTGCTCAGCAGAGTATGGCAGCTGGGCGATGAATCGTGAATGGGTTCTTGTTATGGGTTTAGGGTTTAGGGTTTAGGGTTTACGGTTTAGGGTTTAGGGTTATGGAGTTTAGTTTAAGCTGCCATTAGATACGGGTGTCTAGGGCTTTGGGTTCCCCAAACCCAAACCCCTAAAACCCTGAACCCTGAACCCGTAGCCCTATGCCCTAAACAAAGCCAATACCCCCA